GTGTGCAGTGAAAGCTGTCAGCCTGGCACCAGGAAGGCAACCAGGAAAGGGGAGCCCCTCTGCTGTTTCGACTGTGTGCCTTGTGCAGAGGGAGAGATCAGCAACCACACAGGTGGGAAAATGGTATTAATTTAACAAACTAATATTTAAATATGAACTGAAGTTTATATTCTCTGCTGCTAGAGACAATAAATATTAATTTTATCAAACACCAAGTTGCAGTATGTTTGAGATACACATACCATACCTTTTGTTGATTTGTGGACAGTTCCAAGTATAGAAAATTCCTTCTTGTCCGTCTTCACATCCCAGAAAAACTGCAGATTGAGTGGAAATATTCACACTATTTAAAATAGTGTTTTCTTATCTATTAATAATGTAACATATTACAGATTTTATCTACTTTTGTAACTTTGTAGTTTTTTCTTTTATCAGATCTTAAGAGACAGGCTCCTATATCTCAGAGTTATGAGCTGAATCCAAATGTGGTCTTTTTTTAGAATATAGTGTGTAAACACACAAAGAGAGCTTTTACTGAAATGTGTTGGCCTTTTTCTCTGCCTTTTCCTGAACTTTCCTCCTGGGATTTTGATAGTACTGTCAGTCATTTTTAATTGTTGTTTTTTATACTGTATATCTATCATGGGAGCACTTGAACTCTAGCACAGCAGCCATAAAATAAAATACCAATAAATGAATTAAGGCTTGCAGATCAACAGGCTTCTTTTTACCCATCACTGAGTCTACTGGTTTTCTGTGAACAGATATACAGTATTCTCTTTGTAAACACTATATATAGACACTCTTCCTATAGGTGGTGTAAATATGGGATATATGTAACGTAAATCAAAATGTTTATAAATTTAAAAATGATAGCAAACATTTTTCCATAGCCTAACTGAACCATTTTTTCACACTTTATTTTGTATTATGTACATACTAAAAAATCTCTGTATTTAATAATGAGATAACTGGATCTTTTTCTTACAGATTCAATTGAATGTTTCAAATGCCCCCCAGAATATTGGTCAAACCCAAGCAGAGATCAGTGTGTGCTGAAGAAAGTCGAGTTCCTTTCATACGAAGAGACTTTGGGAATCTCTTTGACAACAGTCTCAGTATTTGGGGCATTTTTTTCAACTGCGGTTTTAGCTGTGTTCATGTACTACAGGAACACCCCAATAGTAAAAGCCAACAATTCTGAACTGAGCTTCCTGCTGCTTTTTTCTCTAATACTCTGCTTCCTCTGCTCATTGCTGTTTATTGGTCAGCCACTACACCTCACCTGTATGCTGAGACATGTTGTGTTTGGAATCAGT